CATAGATCAGAGTTCATATCATCACTTCAGATTCAGTTTTGTCTTTCTGAATCAGATGGGGAGCAGAAGGGAGAAGTTTGAATTTTTTTTCACCTATTTCTTAGACTTTGTGGAATATTTTTTAGTTTTATTAATCAATATGTTCGAAGAACATGAACAATGAAAAGTGCTCACTTTATAGGGAGTATTGTAACTCGAAGAAAATTAGCTTAATTTACTAATGTTTTCTATTATGTTAATTTAAATTGCCATATACTTTTGGTGGGAGGGAAACCAGTGGTTCAGTGGACCGTGTTCCAGAGACAATCTATTAATTATGTCTACTGCTGTTCATCTTGGGAGGCTGAAAATATGTTAACCAAATTTATAAAAGCTGTAGGTGGGAGGCAAGAAGGTCTGCTGCAAACTCACCAGGAACCTCTGCCCTGGATTCCAATCACAGGGATTTCAGTAGCTGCCCGACTCTTGATCAGGTGGCAGAGTGGCCGAACAGAGGAGATACACATGGGCAGCATAGCTGGGAGGCTCACTGCAGGTGGAAGCGTGAGCCACGCCCAGAAACGAGCCTTTCCTTTCACACCATGAATCCGCTAGAAGTCTACGGTGAGGGCCAGACACACTGTGCCTCAACCACCGCTGCGGCAGTCCTGGTCCTCACCCTCAGGCAACAGCCTCCGGACTCAGGCGGGCCTGTGCACATGTCCTGGTTCGTTCCACTTCACATCGTGGTAGCTGGTGGCTGTGATGCCTTGAGCGAGTGACTGACTTGCTCAGCACTTCAGATCCCTAGTCTATGAAATGGGGATAATATCTACCTCAGGGTTAGCTGAGAGTTCCAGACAGTGTGTGCCTAACAGGGTGCTGAGCACCCAAGGGCTCTCCGTAAACGTGTCATTCCCTGCTGGGCAGTGAGAAAACTCATCAGGCACAGCTTACTCTTAGGTGGAAGTGCTTGTCATTAGAAAAGATGGTGCCTCAGCCTTTGGCCTTGGTGACCTGAAAGGCCCTAGAGAGCTCTTCCCGGCAGCTGCTGGCTAGAGAGGCAACCGTGGCTTAGAAGAGTTCTCAGGCTCTGCACACAAAAGCAGGATCCTTGGAAATGAACAATGTATTAATTTACATATTTACCCATTTCAGGTTGTAGCCATAGACTGAGGCCAGAACTTCTCTGTTTTCTGTACAGTCCCCTTTCGGCTCTTTAGCTCGTTATGCTTTGGTTGATATTTCACTCATCCTTTCCCATTCATTCATTTATTCATTTATGTATTCATTCTGTCATCCAGTAGCTATTTCCTGAGCCTCTGATAGGTGCCAGATGCCATTACTAAGCACCAGGGATACAGAGAAAAGTCCCCCATGGTCCCAGCCCCGCAGAAGTTTGCAGACCACTCTCCCGACCCCACCCCATTGCAGTCCTCACCCTGTACACACTCAAGCCACACCTCTCCAGCCATCCTTCTCCACTCAGCTTCTAGACCCACTGAGCCTCCAGCCTCCTTAGAAAGAGTACATACTCACCGTGTAGCAGTAAAGCATCCAGCACAAGCCACATCTTCGCTTATTCTGCATAGGTAGAAGATAGAACAGGAAGCATCTGAAGTGAGAGAGCATGTACTTACCACCTTGCTGTAGGGGAAGAGTGACCCAGCACATTTGAGTAGGAAGGTCCACTGTGCTTTGTGCTTGCGCTTTACATGCCATTTTAGGGTAGAAACATAGGAGCGGAGCTGAGGAGCGAACAGAGATCCGTGTAGCACAGCATTGCTTTGTCTTATTTTTCCAGATCAGATATTTGTAGCATAGCTTCATGTTTTATTTAGAAGACTACAAGATTTCAGAACAACAGAAACACTGTCATTCAAAATCCATACTAATACATGTGGCAGACCACATAGGACTGATTTTTGGACTGTTTTCTATTTTAGGGTTTTTTTGCTTGTTTGTTTGTTTGCTTATTGCAGCTCCCAGTGAGGGTAGCTGATAGCGAGAATATAATCTCGTTTATCTGTCCATAAGCAAGACGTGAAATGGGGTGCTTCCTGGAGCCATGAGATTCCGCTGGGCCAGATCAGGCAGGGTAACCATAGTTGGAGAAAAGGAACGCTAGTGAGGATTTGAGTGCCTGGGGAAGAAGTCAGTCCTCACAGCAGCCCTTCAAAGTAGTTGCCATAATCCTTCATTTTATAGGTAAAGAAGTAAAGGCTCAGAGAAGTGAAACAACTTGCCCAGCGTCCCAGGTTACGTAAGTGGCGGGGCCCGATTTGGCCTTAGTTCTGACTGGCTCCAAAGTCTGTCCCTGTCAAACCATGTTGGTTTTGCTTCACTGAGAGAAATTTTCTACAAACTCATGCCAAAGCCCTTTGGGAAGGAGGAAGGAGAACAAGGAAGCACCACCTGAGACAGTGTGGTGTCTGGTTTTCCTAAGCGGACTAAGCCTCATGACTCCCCTTCCCAAGTGGTCCATTCCCTGGTTGGGCAGAATAACTGCTTAGGATAATACAGTGGGTAATGTGTGTGTTTTTGGACGTAGGCTCTGGAAACTGTAGCCTGGGTTGGGCAAATTTGAAATGGCCATTCCAGCCATGCCTGTAACAGTGCAGGAAGTGAGCAGAGGTTGGGGGAATTCCTTATACTGAACGCTGATAGCGCTTTGTGACTCAGTGCAGGCTGGGGCGGGCCACTGCAGAGTTGCCAAGGGCTCTCTCCTTTCAGTCTTGACTTGTTCGCATCGATAACCGCCAGAGATTTCACATTACCTGCAACAGGATTCTGTACTTAGGCATTTCACCCAGTATTCTTCCATATGGGTGGGGGACTTTCTCCAAAGGGACTTACCATACTGATTGAACTGTTTCCCCATATCCTCTAGGAGTGTTAGAAACAAGAACTCTGGAAATGAGTTGCCACGTCAATACCCTTTGAACGGATTTGCTCACTAATTTCCATTTTTCCGGAAGAGTAAAAGAGAAAAAGAAAAAAATCATCCATTTTAGCCAACTTTATTTTTAGAAAAGTATTTTATTCAAACATCCCCTTACTTATTACAGGCATAAATACATGCATTCAGACAAATGAATCCACGAGAGAACCGTATAAAGTAATTGGCACATCACTTCAGCATGCTTTGTCAGTTAGTGGAGGACTTTGGTGCCTCTAACTTTAATCTTTTCCATTAAAATATCCATTCTGCCTTCAGATTGTGAAACCCATAATATCTTAGGCTGTCTCCATGGACCTGTTAGTTTTGCTTGTCAGACTAATTTAATTTGTGGCTCTATGACTTTGGGTGGCTTGTTAAATTGTACATGGAAACACGTGATCTGCAAATGATGTTCAACATGCCAGGCTTAAGACCTGGTCTCTCCCCAGAGACACTGGACGTACAGTAAATGTGAACCTGGCAGATTTCATTTGCAACCAGCCTAGCTGTTAGGATGGTGATGATGTGTGAAATGGAAGATGTTTAAGCGCATTACTGTTGCTTTTATATACCTTAAATGTTTATAACACTTTTTGAAGCACTTTTTGTATCCACCGTCTCATTTGATTCTCTGAGCTTCCTTGTACTGGGTTATCATTTCCCTCTTTATAGCTAATGAAACTGAGACACAGAGAGAAAGGGTCAGTGACTTGCCTGAGAACAGGGTAAATTGGATTGCAAAGATGCTAGAGGACAAAGCCAAATGTCACCAAAGCCTAGTCAGGGTGGTGTGTGTAGTAGACTTTGCCACGTAATTGCCATTTTCCCCTGCCCTCCTTTGAGGAAAGGAGCTCTGAAGTGGTGAAAACAGGAAGGGCTAGAGATGGGAGGTAAAGAGTGCAAGAAGCAGAAACTGTAGTAGCATCAGCTCCATGTGGATGGCCACAGCTGGCTTCACTGCTCTTTGCCTGGACTGTTGCAGCAGCCTCATCTCTGGTCTCCCTCCTTGACTGTCACCTGCACAGTACACGTTCCAAATGTCCCCAGAGAGAGATTTCTTAAGTACAAATCTGAGCATGTCTCTCTTTTGCTGCAAACCCATCATTGGCTCCCACTGCCAGATTCTTCATCGCGGTCTTCCAGCCTACACTGGGGTCTTGCTTCTGGCCCGCCTCTCTTCTGCCACACTGCATTCCTCACCACTGTAGAACCCACTGTGTTCTTTCCCAGCCTCCTTTTTTGCCACTGTCTCTGCTTAGAACACATTTATGGTGAACTCCATAAACATGACCTTCCCTGTGGAGCCTTCCCTGATTCTCAGGGACCCAGAAGCATCCCTCTTTCCACTGCATGCCCACAGCAACTTAGCCCAGCCTAGTGCCTGTTATCTCTGTGCTGAGCAGTCTGCCCCAGGGAGTTTTTAGCTCCTCAAGGATGGAGGTTGTGGTAGATGCCTGTGTTCTCTTACCGCCTCCCAGGTGTCTTGAAGAATTGGAACTTAAGAAAACGGATGAGTATGAAATGTAGGAGTGAAGTGAGTAAATGAGTGAATTAGTGTATGAGGAGTGAATGAGAAGACTTTAACAGCCTGAGCCAGCAGGAAACGTGACTCCCGGCATTACCTGGCATGTGCCCCATTTCTCCCTCTTGTCTGAGAGGAGTCATGGAGAGATATTGCCCCTCCACAGCTTGGCGTCTTTGGTGAAATGAGAGGCATAAAGAAAGGTGAGCTGGGCTTTTGCCTGGTGGCCTAGTATAGAGGAAAGCACATCAGGGTTGAGAAGCAGGGACTGATCCTCTTGGCTCTGTGGCCCCTGACTTCTGCCCACCCAGAAGGTTCTCACCAAAGGTTTCGGTGGTGGGAACTCTTCCTCGGGGAGCTGAGAGTCTTTGCCAAGAGTTCCTACAGCAGCATCATAGGCTTCCAGAGTCAAAGCTGTTTGTTTGTCCAGGAAGCACCTTCATGTCTGGTGGCAAGATGTGGGGATAGAAGGTGAGCACATAGAAGGCCTGGGACTTGGGGGGGGGCGGGGAACTCTGAGCCAGCGCATCAGTGTCTTCATGTGACTCTGTCTTCTAGATGATGTCTGTCCTCATGAATACCATTGTCTTCGAAGACTGTCGGAACCAGTGGTCAGTATCCAGGCCTCTCCTGGGGCTCATCCTGCTCAACGAGAAGGTGAGTGCGGTTGCAGGAAGGTCCGCAGGAGGCGACCACTGGGAAGAGGGAGCAGCTATACACCAGGCCAAGCTGTGACAAAGACAGGGAAGCCAACCGAGCTTGAGCTGGGACCTTGAGCACGCGGGACAAGGCCGTTTTCCCCCAGAAGGCCCTTCCCTAGAGGCCTCAGATCTCCTTCAGTTAAGTAGGGGCCTCACAGTAGCTTTTCTGGCACCTGGAGCCCTGCGCTGGACGGGCGGTTTGCTCAGCAGTGCTTCCAGCGCACCCTCACCCCCCTCCCTGTTCCAGGAGATTGTGGGCAACAACGCCTTTTGCCCCTTCCTAGGCCTCCCTTCCTTTGCGGGATCCCCACTGCCCTCGGTGGTAGCAGTAGCCCCTCAGGGCCAAGCACAGAGGCAGCACCCTTCATCCGGAGCGCAAGTCTCCAGTCCTTAAGTGCACGCACCACTCTGGGCTGCCTCCCAAGTTCTCCAGCTTCCCCTTGAACCCACCCCTGTCTCCCCAGCAGTCAGTAGGAACAGTGCATTACTGCTCGGGAGAATGAATTGTCTATACAATAAGAGAGTACTGGGGAAAAGGACAGTGAGATTAGAGGCAGCCGCATACATTAAAATTCAAACTGAAATCCCAGCCTTGGAAGGAAACTAATAGAAGAAGAAAATATATCAAAAAGAGAAGAGCTGTCTCATCATTCACCTGTGCTGAAGTATCCAATTTTAGCCACATTCAATAGCACTGTCATTCATCTTCCCTCGGTGTTATTGTGATTTAAATCCAAGCTCTATAAGAGAGAGCAGTTCTTTTAAAATGATTGAGAGGGAATAAGGGCAAATTCAGTGTTTAGAAAAAGCTTATGACATCACAATATTATACTTTACTGATGGAGGTAATATTTCATGGTTTGGGATGAAAAACTAATAATTTTCTATTTGGTGTGAGTCACTGCATCATTATAAAAGGGAAAAATAAGTAGTTCTGTGCATTCCCAGTCTTGTTCGGGAAGACATTGTGGTTTAAGTGTAATGCCTCTGATATATAGTATTTAAGTATTAGTCTGACTACATATTAATTATGTGTGTTTTTGATGTGAGCTGTTTTAATGTATGATGGAAATTAAATATCATTCTGTTTGGGCTTGGAAGGATAAACACGACTGGCAAAATGTTGTCTTTGTGCTGAAATTAGGCTGTTTCCAGTGATTAGGAGCTGCTTTTAGCATAAGAGTTTGTGTGTGTAAAAGCCCACAGACATCAGCAGAGAAGAAAGGGCTGTGCAGTTCTTTGTGACCAGGTGTGACAGGTGTTTTTCTTAGTGCCAGAAAGCTCTCCCAGGACTAAGCGAGTCCCTGTAGTACCCCACCTCAGCAGAACAGACCCATCCTAACTCGGGAGGACAAGGACTTGGAACAAAGCCTGGGGTCGTTTGAGGGGTAGTTCACTGAAGCCACCGAAGACGAAGAGGCCTGAGGAGGGACCCTGGACTTGGTCGCCCAAAGCGCTCCTTGGGCATTTTTAGTTCATTTCTTCCCCTCAGCCTAAGAGGTCCTTCCTCTTTCAGCCTTTCTGTGATTATTGTTGATGAGACTCAGGAAGACCTTTATGTGCTTGGTCCCCCACAGAGGAGGCGAGGACTCCATCAGCCTAAATTGTTCCGTGACAATAAAGCAACTATAGGAAGAGATTTTTATGAGAAGGGATAATACAGTTTATACTCAGGAATGTCTCTGTTGCTTTGGTTTTCTCTAAAGGCTTAAAGTTCAGAGGGGACCCGGACCAAAGCCCCTTTGAGAGTTAGGAGCCCTGAGCACTTTGGAGGTGGTCTAGCCCTCCCCTACAGCTCTCCTCAGGCCCCAGTGTGGAGCCAGAGTTCTGACACTTGTTCTGTCTCCCAACAGTATTTCAGTGAACTGAGGGCAAGTCTGATAAACAGCCAACCTCTCCCCAAGCAGGAGGTCCTTGCCCAGTGCTTCAGGAACCTAATGGAAGGAGTGGAGCAGAACCTGTCTGTCAAGAACAGAGACAGGTAAGCAGCGCCCCATAGTTTAGCATCTCTGGGGTAGGTGGACGTTCCGGGATTGCGCTTAACACAGCTCACAATATACTGATGTGGCTTTTCTATTACACCTTGTAATCCTAGACTCAATTTAGTTCCATCCGGTAAATATGACTGGGTAGTTGCTTTCTTCCAAGCATCACACTAGGCACTGTAGAGCAGCGGTCCCCAACCTTTTTGGCACCAGGGACCAGTTTCGTGGAAGACAATTTTTCCGGGGGGCGGGGTTCAGGCGGTAATGCGAGCGATGGGGATAATGGAGATGAGCGATGGGAATCGGCAGGTGAAGCTTCAGTTGCCCGCGGCCCAGGGGTGGGGGACCCCTGCTATGGAGGATGCAGAGATGAATAAAATGCAGCCTTTGCCCTTCAGCAGTTTATAATCCAACAGGAGAGAGAGAGAGAAAAAATAACTAATTGAAAAGGTTAAAAGAAGGAAAGTTTAGATCTGCTATGAAGGACAAAGAAAGGCCTCCTGGCATTTGAGCAAGCATAGGCTTTGAGGTCAGACAGACTCCAATTTAAATTTTATCCCTGCCCTTTATAGGCTGTGTGGCAGTGAGTAAGGCAGTCAAGTTCTCTGATCCTCAGTTTTCTCACCAGTAAAACAGAGATGATGATAATTGATTGTGACCTTTAAATGACAGAATATAGTAAACATGGTACCCAGGACATATGATGCACAGTAAGCAGTTCCTTCCTCTGCCTGACCTTTGAAAGTGGTTGGTTTTGCAAGAACAGAGACAGGTAAATTGCCAGTGAGATCCTGATGAGGAACCCAAACTTAGCACCTATGCCTGAATTCATTCATTCATTCATTCATTTAGTTCATAAAATTTTATTAAGAATCTGCTATGTGCCAGGCACTGGGGATACCACTGAGGAACTAATTGTTCCAGGTTTTTGCCCTCACGGAGCTTCTAGTGGAAGAGACAGGCATAATGAATGATGGAGAGAGAAAATGTTTTCAGAAAAAAAAAAAAAAAAAAAACTTGCCTCATGCTTTTACAAAAGTGGCAGCATTCAAACACTGCGCCATTTGAAATGCACATTATTAATCATCCCGATAGCCACAAGCCAAAACCTGGGCTTTGGTAATACGAGGCCAAGTCGGATGGGCTCTGTGGACGTGTTCATTTGACTGCTTGTTCTGAGCCAAGATCCTCTATCAGGCAAAAAGGGGCAGCCTCCAGGGCTAGGAGGAGAAGAGACTTCGTGAAGGAAGAGGGGACCCTTCCCTATATGCCTCGGGGGGGGGGGGAATTGCTTCACCTGAGGCTTGGGAATTTGAGTATTGCCTCCTGAGCGGCTCTGTGAAATGGTGTCAGACAAGCTCCTCGTTTAGTGAAAGTACTAGCTAGCAAGGACTGCGTGTTTTCCATGTGCCGGGCAGGATGTTGAGCACTTACAGGCATCGTCTCACTTGACTCAGTAAACTCTCCCTTCCCACAATCCCGTAAGCTAGCTACTCATGTGGGGCACCAAGACAAGAGATCACCCAGCTTAGAAGTGATGGGGCCAGGATGTGAGCCCAGGTGGTCTTACCCAGTGCCCCCTCTTTGTGAAGCACTTAGTTTGGTTTCCTTATCTGCAAACGAGGATACCGACACCTACTTTGGAGAAGACTTGTGATGATTAAACGAATTTATATGTAAACTCAACCAGTGCCAGGCACATAAGCTTTTGTTCTTTTCTTTATATTCCTTACCATCTATAATGTAATTTGACTTTTAAAAATAATTTTTAAATGGTATAACCGCAGAATGCACCCCTCGAAATGGTCAGAGTGTATTTGCTGGTAACCCTTGTTTTCCGGGAGGGGAAGGAGGAGGGCATGCTGCTGGCGGAGCAGTAGTGGTCGGTGAAATGGGAGGAAGGAGCTCAGCCAGCACCTAGGCCGTCTCCAGGGTCCTGAACTCCGCCGCCAGAGCTTCACAAAGCCTCGGCCTTGCCACTGCCCTCAGCCCTTTCTTACTCTTTCCACAGGTTCACCCAGAACCTCTCGGTCTTCAGAAGAGATGTGGCAGAGGCCCTGCGCAGTGATGGCAGCACCGAACCGTGCAGTCTGGACATGATGAGCTGACCCGACTTCTGACCGTGTGCCGAGCAGCTTTTATCAAGAGACTTGTGGGTCTGGATCCCAGGACAGTGATGTTGGCTAGCCCAGGGGAATCTATTTTTCAAAACAAACAAACAACAACAACAAGAGTCCTACCTTTTTATAAGCCTGGCCTAATTGTAAGAATTTATAATAGCGCACAAACAATGTAAATTCAGTCTTTGCACTGAAAAAGCAAAAGATGTGTTTTCAGTCTTTCTATAAAACAGCATTTATCTTTGTTCTTATAATGCTCTGAAAGGGTGTAGAGACAATATTTAACCAAAGAATATAATAAACCAGGTTTACGCCTAAGTGTGTACTAGTTAATGGTTCTGCAGTCAAGGTTGTGAATTTGTGAGAGATGCAACCTTCAACATAGATCCCGGATTGAGACAAATATACCATTTGAACCTGTTAAATTAGTAGTTTGTTATGAGTCTGGAAAAAGCAGCACTGGGGACTCTGAGCTGTGGGCACTTAAGAACGAGCCTGGGAGCTCTCCAGAGCATCCCACAGGACTGCACACAGCCCTCTCCGCCTCAGCAGCGTCTGACAAAGTTGAGAGACAGTAACACAATTAAATGACTTACAAACAACGTTTGCTCTTCACTGGCATAAATCTGAAGTGGTTCAGTCTAGAAGAATTAAGCTGTGCAATTACTGCCTGCAGAGATATTTCTTCAAAAGCAGCTCTGCCTTCTCGGGCCACCCAAAACAGTTCTAGGTGCTAAAGTATAGATTTTCAGAGGATGTGGATCAGCTGGTTTTCATCCTTCCACAAAAACTCTTACTACTGTGGGGACTGCAGCTCGGCCCAAACCCAGGACAAGGAGGAAGCCTTTACAGTTTGTGAGGGACTGGAGCTAGGCTATTAATTTGAGATTGCCACTGTGAGATGGCTTTGGTGTCTCACCGCTCCGTCTTCATGGCTCAGGCTTGTAGTAAATATTGTTCCCTTTATTTCTGATAAGACATGAAAGGTTGGCCTTACTGTTGAAGAAGAAGTAAATCTACAAGCTCCTGTTATAATCTCATTTCTCAGACTAGTATTTCTTGAAAAGTTTCTTGATAGCTGAGTTTTACAACAGGCTTGTCACAGAATAGCAAAGTCACCCAAGTTTATCTCAAAATGTTTGTCTTCCGTGTGTGAACCCAGGAAATCAGGGAAAAGTGTGTGTTCTAGGTAGGGTTACTTCTGGTATCTAATGGAGAAGGAAGCCTCAGCCTTACACTATGTTTCGTTAGCAGTGGGATAAATTTCCACAAGAAGGCAAATTCTGAACTTCATAAAACCTCAACTGTTTAGAGAAGTCTGACTTGAGAATTTTCTATTTCTCATGGGCTTATTACTGTACACTACTCATCCCCAAAAAAACCCTTCATAGAAGACCTATCCCCTTCTGACACTGTTTTTTGGTTTGTTTGTTTTTTGTTTTTGTTTTTGTTTTTGAAAAAGGTCCAAGACCTGGGAGTTCCCTAGTGGCCTAGTGGTTAGGATTCCGGGCTTTCACTGCCATGGCCCGGCTTCAACCCCCAGTCGGGGAACTAAGATCCTGCAAGCCGCGTGGCGTGGCCAAAGTAAGTAAATAAATAAAAAGGTGCAAGACCTAAAAGCACCGTATTATTTGCATTAAAATGCTCACAAGAAAATCACCATGTGTACTTGCTTTTCTTGACCACATCGCCAAAGGTCGCCTGGTGGTTTCTCCCCAGCCAGGAAAGGCTCAGTCTTGGCCTTGGAGAGCTGCTGGGGAGGAGGACTTGTCAGGCCTGCCCCAGCCCGACTTGAGCAGGGCCTGCTCATGGCGCCGGGGTGTGCAGAGCACACGGAGAGGCAGCGCGCGCAGCAGGGAACAGACTCAGCAAAGCGATGGAACGTCTGCCGTGCCCTCCTCATCTGACCTCTCACTTAGTCCTCACAATAGCCCTGTGAAGGTGGACAGCATACTCCCACTTTTCAGGTGAGGAAGCTGAGGCGCAAAGGTGGTACACAGCTTACACTGGTCACACAGGCAGGATTTGACCCCAGGTCTGTGTCACCTCAAAGGAATTCCTGGCCTCTCCAAGACCTGTATTTGAGAATGGTGAGTTGAAACCAGTTAATGTTTACATCCATTACCATGTGTTTTTCAGAACTCTGTTGCTGTGTAACAAACGACCCCAACATGTAGTGGCTTAGAGCAGCACTGCTCATCTCACAGTTCCTGTGAGTGCTCTGCCTCAGGGTCTCCCAGGCTGCAGCCAGGATTGTGGGCCAGGGCCCTGATCATCACCAGGCTTGCCCGGAAAGGACCTGCTTCCAGCCCCCTCATGGCTATTGGCAGGAGTCGGCTCCTCGCGGGTTGGTGGACCGAGCCTCAGCTCCTCGCCAAGTGGCCTTTGCACAGGGCGGCTCACAACTTGGCATCTCGCTTTACCAGAGCAAGAGAGAGAGAAGCACAGCAGTCTGGAAGTCTCAGCCTCTCATAACCTAATCGCAGAGGGGCCACGCATCATTTTTCCTGTGTTCTCTTCATTGGAAGTAGATCACTGGACCAGCCCACACCCAAGGGGAGGGGTTACACAAAGGCGGGAGGCAGGGGTCTTCGGGAGCCATGTTCAAAGCCACCTGCCACGACTCCTACCTGGCCTTTGCTGGAGAGGTTGGGTTTGGCTACAGGTTTCTCCCCTGAGACCTGGAAAGGAATCCTGATTCTCCCTGGAGAGCTAAGTTCCGTTCTGTGCCCTTTCTGAGGGAGGAGGAGGGAGTGGGGAAGCTGGGGTGTTTGCAGAGCACGTCAGACTGCACACTCACCCCCTGTCCCAGTGGGTCCTGGTTTGGAACTGCTCCCCACCCACTCAGGCCAGCCTTGCCAGAGTCGGCCTTGGTGAGGGATTGCGGGGGCTCCAGGGGAAAGCTGGAGTCCCCCGTGGGAGTCCTCTGCAGGGTCATCCTATCCCAAGGGTAAAACAGGCACTCAAGGGCACACCCAATCTTGCGGAGCCTGCACAAAAGAGAGCTAGTTGGATCTGTTACAGAGCGGTCTCCAACCTTTTTGGCACCAGGGACTGGTTTCATGGAAGACAGTTTTTCCACCGTCAGGGGTTGCGGGGGCGGGGGGGGCGGGGGGGGGGGGCACGGGAGGATGTTTCAGGAGGTAACGCGAGCGATGGGGGGGCAGCAGAGGAAGCTTCGCTCGCTGCCCCGCCGCTCACCTCCTGCTGTGCGGCCCGGTTCCTAACAGGCTGCGGCCCGGACCGGTATTGGTCCGTGGCCTGGGGGTTGGGGACCCCTGTGTTACATGCTCCAATCAGATCGCAGGTGAATGTGACTTACACTCAGCAACAGGAAAAAATAAATGATCCTGGCAGTTCCTCGGGGTCTGCCACCTACCCACAGCATCTGGCCCAGAGTGAAGAGGAGAGGAATGCGCGGGCCGCTGCCGGTGCACCTCGCCCTTCTGATGAGCTGCTAGCAGGCGAACACGTCTCGTCCACGCTGTGCGGGGCTCTAGGTCAAGCCAACAGCTTCAGCTGATAGTCAAGCAAGAAACACTTTGAAGGTACTAGGACCGCACGCCTTTTGCCTTCTCCACTGACTTAAGAACCTGACCCCTGAGAGCTGTATCCTGCTTGTGGTCTAGATGTTTCTGTGTTTTCTGTGCTTTCCAATCAGGCTTCTCTAGAACAGGGGATGGGGGTGCTGCATGCACCGTGTGACGATCGGAGCAGCCAGAAAAGCCCTGTTGGCCCCTGGCCCCCCTTCCACTGGCCCTGCCAACCTAGAAGTGCCTTTGGGTTATGGTACTGGAAGCCCCTGTCGACATGCGCAACTGACCTGGCACTGGCTGTGAGCTGAGCTCAGTGACTGAGTTAACTACCAACAGAGCTGAGCGTGAGAACAAAGAACAGGGTAGGTTTGGTGAGAGAAACTGGGGAAAGTGGAAGAGCTGACATAGGGGAGCCTTGTCCAAAATGGAGGCCAGTCCAGCAGTGTAGGCGAGGCAGCATTTGAGAGAACCCAGCACCTTATGGCGAGGAGGCAAAGAGCGCCTGGAGAGCGGGGCGGGGCAGAGTAGAGGGAGACAGTGAAAGTCCCAAGATGAACATTAAACAACTGGAACCACCATCATTTAATGAGCACCCACGAAGCACTGCAAATCATGATCTCATTTAAATGTAATGCTTACCAATAAGAAAGTCAAGTAAGTATTGATATTATCCTCATTTTAGAGATGAAAAAACTGAGACTAAAAGACTGACCCGAGCCACACAGCTAGAAAGTGGACGAGCCAGGATTCAAAGTCAGGTCAGCCTGACTCCAAAACTCATGTTTCTCTTCCACTAACATCCCTTAAGCTAGGTACTTCACCACTGGGCTTTGGAGACAGTTGGGTGGGGAGGTGCATATGGACCCACCGCGACCCCCAGATGGGGCTGATCACTCCCCAAGAAAGGCCAGTCCCACAGAGCCCCTTGTGTGCTGTGTCTGTGGCTTCTGCCACTGATTCATCCTCCTCCCTGAACTTTATAAAATCATTCTTGAGACTTTTTAATGTTTTATTGAGGTGTAAGTTTACAATGACAGCAAACCTTTCAAACTACAGCAAGAGTAACCTGCCTCCTTGGCATATTAAAAAATAATGTTAGTGTGGGTTTTTACATCCCATAGGTTGGATTGCTCATAAGAGTGCTTCCTTGACAAGATTCTTTTTGAGGTTTACAGAAAGCGTAATAAAATATGTAAGTTACATTCCCACAAACAAAAGCTATAACATAAGTTATTTATAAGCGTGAGATACAAACAGTATCACGATAAATAAACCATAAGGGTACCTGCAACATCCATCTTAATGTAATTTGCCCAACAAAAGTGTTGAAACGAAGTCAAATTTAGTAGAGAAATCTGTCAGGAAGAAAGGAAAGTTGTAAAACACAAAATGGGGACAATGGCTGATGGGGTGGGAACAAACAAGGGCATGAGATCGGGTGTGGAGGCACCTCAGAAGGCCACGGTGCCTGCCCTTGGTGCCTGCCCTCGCCCCCTGAGGTCCCAGCAAGCCCTGCTACCCACAGGCGCATGTGTCACCAGCCCGCACGAGGGAAGGAATCTCCCCTCCCCTCCCCCTTCCTGTCTTATACCCTCTCTCCTAACCCCCAGCCCTTTGGCAGCTCCCTCAGGCTGCTGCCAGCCTCCCTGCCAGGCTGGGCCATCCTCGAGGCCAGGGCCTGGGTCTGACTCAGCACAAGGATCCTGGAGATCATTCGTTCGCTCATTCATTCACCTACCACAGATAAAGCAGTGAACGAGGCAGAGTCTCTGCCTTCAGAGAGCTGGTGAGCAGGGGAAATACGATGGGTTCCAAAGGCAATGAGGCAATGATGAAAATAAACAGGGATAGACAGTGGCTGGGGGAGAGGAGGGCTGCTTTAGAGGATGGGCAGAGAGGCAAGAGGTGGCCTGGGCCCTAAAAGGTGGAAAGGCAGGGCTTCCCTGGTGGCGCAGTGGTTGAGGGTCCGCCTGCCGATGCAGGGGACACGGGTTCATGCCCCGGTCCGGGAAGATCCCACGTGCCGCGGAGCGGCTGGGCCCGTGAGCCATGGCCGCTGAGCCTGCGCGTCAGGAGCGGGAGAGGCCACAACAGTGAGAGGCCCGCATACCGCAAAAACAAAAACAAAAACAAACAAAAAAGGTGGAAAGGCACCAGCCGTGGGCGGAGCTGGGGGAGGCGAGTGCTGAACTGAGTACAGGCGAATTACTGGACACACTTCTGACCCCTTCGTCCTTATCCCTCGTCTGACCTTGCTGTGTGCTATTTAGTTTAATACCGCAAACTCTTAATGACCATCCAGTGGGCCCTGGGCCAGCCCCAGGACATGAACTTGAACGCCACCAACACCGTTCTGCCCTGGAGGCACTCCTGGAACAGTGGGGGACACAGAAGTGAGCCCACTGCGGCCGCCCTCACGCCGCTCCTGGGATCCTTCCCCTAGACCACCCACTGATTTCCTATGACTTCGAATCCTTACTACCTGCTCCCACAGCAAAAATGGGGGTATGAGGTAAAGGGAAAAGCACGGGCTTTGGAGTCAAGACAGTCCTGGGTTCCAATCCCAGCTCCAGCCCTTCCCCACCGCACGCCCTCTAGTCCTCCTCATCGAGGGAGGCAGCGATGAAGAGCTCAGACTGTATTACTCCCACTATCAGATGGGGAAATGGAGGCCCAAAGTTGGGACATGGTCCAGAAAATTGGAGTATGTGCTCAGTAAATACTTGAATAAATGAATGGATGAGTGAATAAGTTTGGGCAGGTGTCTTTAGAGCCTTCCATCATGAGAAATAGAAGGGCCCCTAGAGATTCCAAACTAGGGGGTGTGAACTAAGGATGGAGGGTGGGCAGGTAAGCAACCTGGGACGTGGCGTGTGTGCCAAATTGATGTGTTTGTGTCTTTGTCTATGGAAGTGGTCCATAATATTTTCATCTATCTTGCAAATTCGCTTGCTGACCCAAATATGTTTAAGAGCCCTGATTCAAACCCTACCCCATTTTACAGACAGGGAAATTGATTCCCAGTTTACACAGGAAGTCGGCGGTAGAGTGAGCCCGAACTGGGTCCTCCTGCATGTGGACAACTGGAAATGCCGACATCCTGACTCTCATCCCTAAATCCCCCCTCTGTCTCCTATATGACACCCAGCAAGACCTCCAGCAGTGCTA